AAGTAAAATTCAGCTCCCTAGAACATGGGAGTGATCCAAGCTCTCCCATTATCACTGAGCTGGATTCAAAGGATGTTGGCTTTGGTCAGTGAAGGTGTGAATTGTTAACAACTGGGAAAGTTGCAGCCTCTTGGACTAGCAACTTTCTTGCTTCTTGGTTTTGCTGCTCTCCACCTGCCCTTTCCCCTTCCTTTCTGCATCCCACATCCCTCTTCTCCTCTTAATCTTTTGATTGGGTGTTTGCATGAGTCATGGTGCTGAATCTGGTCCCTTGGTTGTGGGACTGCATCCATACTTCAGCCAGGTATTGCTCAACAATGGTAGAAGAGAGAGAGATTACTCTCTGGTTTACCACTACATCTATTCTTGGCTATGTGTCATGATTAGTGAAATCCACGTTCTAATTGAAATGAAATTCATTCAACCTTTTAAATCCATAAATTTCTGCATTTTGCAATGGAGCTGTCCAGTCAAAAAATTAATGCAAGATATGCACATTAGGAGGAACAATGCCCAAAACATGCACAATATTGTTTGCAAAATGACTACACAATGCATGTACTAAAGAGAAACATGTACAAACACACAACTTAAAAACTTAAAACAAAACACATTTTTCTCAAATGCATGAATAACCCAACTGGAGACTGGAGAATTTCTCAAAGTTCAAGATGAGCTAGACCTAAGTTTGGAAAAATAAGGCATTGAGGAAAAAACAAAATTGGGAGCTCTGTGGATCCCAAGTGATAGTGATAGACACTAGTGTCACAAGAATTGATGCCTGTAGAAGTTTGTTGCTGGGCAACATATGCAAACAGGAGAATGCTGTTGCTTGTGGACTTATTTATTTATTTATTTATTTATTAAAACATTTCTATGCCGCCACTTGCCGAAGCCTCGGGGCAGCTTGCAACACAATAAAATACAATAACATACAAAAATAACAATATAAAATTAAAATTAACAATATAAAATAAATAAAAAATATAAAAGAAGTCACCCTGGCCAGATAAATAAGCAAATATTGTTAAAAATTAAAATGACATTTAAATAAAAAGGTCTTCACCTGGCGCCGAAAAACAAATAATGACGGCGCCAGGCGGACCTCTCTGGGAAGCACATTCCATAGATTGGGCGCCACCGCAGAGAAAGCCCTCCTCCGAGTACCCACCCTCCTAATTTCTTTCACGGAGGGTTCCCGGAGAAGGGCCTCTCCCGCAGATCTCAAGGGGTGGTCGTGCATATATGGATGTTAGCGCTCCTTCAGGTAACCAGGAACCAAGCCATTTAGGGCTTTATAAGTCATCACCAACACCTTGAATTGGGCCCGGACTTCAATGGGAAGCCAGTGAAGCTGACGGAGGACTGGAGTCATGTGAACATAATGTCCTGCCCCCGTCAGCAACCTGGAAGCTATATTTTGAACCAATTGAAGTATCCGGACTGTCTTCAAGGGAAGCCCCACGTAAAGCGCGTTACAGAAGTCAAGGCGGGAGGTCACCAATGCATGTGTCACTGTCGCCAGGCAGTCGTACTCCAGGTAGGAGCGCAGCTGATTAATCAGCCGAAGCTGAAGGAAAGCGCTCCTCACCACCACTGTCACCTGAGCTTCCAATGAAAGCTCCGGGTCGAGGAGTACTCCTAAGCTGCAGACCTTGTCCCTAAGAGGGAGTGCAACCCCATTCAGGACCAGGTCAAATCCACCCTCTCCGAAGCCTGATCCGCCAACCAACAGGACCTCTGTCTTGTCTGGATTGAGCTTCAGTTTATTGGCCCTCATCCAGCCCATTACCTCAGCCAAGCACCGGTTCAGCACAGCCACTGCCTCACCTGGATTGGTGGAAAACGAGAGGTAGAGCTGGGTATCATCAGCGTACTGATGATTCCGCAGCCCACACCTCCTGATGACCTCTCCCAGCGGTTTCATGTAGATGTTAAACAGCAAAGGGGACAAAATGGAGCCCTGTGGTACTCCATGGCATAGCTGCCATGGCGCAGAGCCATAGTCCCCCAGCACTACCTTCTGGAATCAGCCGTTGAGATAGGAGCGGAACCACTGCAAAGCAGTGCCTCCGACCCCCAATCCCGCTAGCCTATCCAGAAGGATACCATGGACGATGGTATCGAAAACCGCTGAGAGGTCCAGAAGAACCAACAGGGACACACTCCCCCTGTCCTTCTCCCTGCACAGGTCATCGTACAGGGTGACCAAGGCAGATTCAGTACCATACCCGGGTCTGAAGCCGGACTGAAATGGGTCCAGATAATCAGTTTCATCCAAGAGTGCTTGGAGTTGTCCTGCCACCACCCGCTCTAACACCTTGCCCAGAAATGGGATGTTGGCCACAGGTCTATAGTTAGTGGCCATCTCTGGATCCAGTGACGCTTTCTTCAGGACCGGTCGGACTACCACCTCCTTCAAAGGGTCAGGCACCCAACCCTCCCTCAGAGAAGCATTAACCACTTCCAAGATCCAGGTCCCAATCCCGTGCTTGGAGTTATTTATTAACCAAGACGGGCAAGGATCCAATAGGCAAGTGGTGGGAGGTACTCGTCCAAGCACCTTGTCCACATCATCAGGCCGCAATAACTGAAATTCGTCCAATAATTCTGGACCAGACGGCAGCATTGGCATCTCCCCAGAAACCTCTGATTCATTAGTGGTGTCCAGCTCGTGATGAATCTGAGCGATTTTCTCCCTGAAAAGCCTGGCAAAGTCATCACAGCGGGCCTTTGAGGGTGGAACTGGATCTTCCTTAGGACCCAGGCGAACCAGGCCTTGCACCACTCGAAAAAGCTCTGCCGGACGGCATTTTGAGGAGGCAATGGAAGTGGAAAAAAACTTTTTCGCCGCCTTCTCCGCCACAGCATAGGCCCGATAGTGGGCTCTCAAGTGTGTTCGGTCAGATTCATCCTGTGATTTCCTCCACCTACGCTCTAGCCGTCTCCCAACCTGCTTCGTCGCCCGCAATTCAGGTGTATACCAAGGGGAAGAGTGGGCTCTGCCCGGTGGGAGAGGACGCTTAGGAGTGATCGTGTCCACAGCCCTGGTCATCTCCCCGTTCCACAGTTCAACCAGAGCCTTGACAGGAGCACCAGTCTTGTCAGCTGGAAACTCCCCCAGGACTTTCAGGAATCCATTCGGATCCATCCGGCTCCGGGGACGGACCCACACAATCGGATCCACACCCTTACAGAGGGAGAGGCCGCTCTCGAGCACAAGCCTCACCAGGAAGTGATCTGACCATGACAGGGGAGTCAAACATAAATTCCTCACCCTCAGACCACCCTCTTCCTGCCCCGTCGAGAAAACGAGGTCCAGAGTGTGTCCACGTTCATGGGTCGGGCCGGAGACATGTTGAGACAGCCCCATGGCCGTCATGGAGGCCATGAAGTCCTGAGCTGCCCCGGTCAGACTAGACTCGGCATGGAGATTGAAGTCCCCCAGGACCAACATCCTGGGGGTCCTCAACACCAGGTCCAAGACGATCTCCGTCAGCTCAAGCAGGGAGACTGTTGGGCAGAAGGGTACACGGTACACCACCAGAATCCCCAATCTGTCTCATTCACCCAACACCAAGTAGAGGCACTCCAGCCCTGGCCTCGAAGGGACCGGAAGTCCCGTGAGAGAGATGGAGGCTCGGTAAACCAAAGCGACTCCCCCTCCCCTCCCCTCTGGGCGTGAACAGTGCTGAACCAGATACCCAGGCGGGCACAGTTGAGAAAGGGCAACATCCCCCCCTCTCCTGCCCAGGTCTCCCTTATGCAAGCCAGGTTGGCCCCCTCCTCCACAATCAAGTCATGGATGAGGGAAGATTTATTATTGACCGACCTGGCATTGAGCAGCAGCACTTTCCATTGGCATCTCATTGGCCAATGTGTGAACAGAATGCTGGAGTACAGAGAGCCTTTATTGATCCAGCCTGGCTCTTCATGTGTTCTTAGCAAAGTCTTAAGTTAGCCCCTTTTGCTCCTCCTGAAAACTTGGTTCAGTAGCCCAGTTTGCTTCAGTAAACAGTGTATGGTGTGGCAGCAGTGCCATAAAATACATGAGAAGCTCTCATGTGCCCTAGACTCTAGTGCTTATTTGTCCTGTATTGAGAATTGTTCACTACAATCACAGAAAACCCAAAATGACTGAAGAATGTGATCTATCTCTGTGCATGCTCATTCTCACAGGAATCAAATACAGTTCTGTGAGTAAATTGATCTTCACAAATTACTATCCCCAGGGCAAAATCCACCCTTCATGACCAACAAGTTGACTAAACTTAGAGGGAAACTGAAGCAGCATTCTAGCAATAGGCTTTTGCACATAATGGCTGGCATTTCATGTTGGGCAAAGGAAAAAAAAACAAATATGTTTTAATGAAATGTAGTGCCCTCTATCAGACGAGGATGTCAGTTTCTCCCCCCTTGCTGCCTAGTCCAAGTTTAATTAACCAGTGTCCCTCATAGCTGGCAAAGGCTATTGGATTGAGGCACACAATGAAAGGTAAATTTAGATAAAATCAGCACATGAGTCCATTTGCTATCTTAAATTTAACTAAATAATTTTACATAAAAGAAAAATCTGTGGGTGGATTTTAATTATTTATTGAAATGATATCAGGTGGGGGGGGGCAAAGGGAAGGGAAAGCAACAACAATGACAACAGTTTCTCAGTGTTCAGTAGTTTAGCACCGGTGAATAGACAGCAAAATATTCACCCGTCATATTTTAAAGTCTTACTTTTGAAGCCTTCCTAAAGTCTTCTGCTTGCAACAAAGCATGTGAGGCATGTTGGTTAGAGTTTGGACTCAGGAGATCCATGTTCCACTGTCCATTGAACTCAACCATGAAGCTCACTGGAGGTAAATTTGGGCAAGCCCTGGGCTCTCAGTCTAACCTATCTCATAGGGTTGTTGCAAAGATGGAGACCCTTGTAAGCTATCCTGGGTTCTTTGTGAGAAGAAGAAAGTCCTGATATGAATGCAATACAGCAAGAACAACATCCACATCTACAGAAGGAAACCAAAGAATGGAGTCTTGGGATACTTCTTCAAACCCAGTAAATTGGACAATGCTGCTTGGATTTCTTGGTTTCTCAAGCTATAGATCACTGGGTTGAGCAAAGGTGGAATCACAGAATATATTACGGCAAAAAGTGTATCCATATATGGCAGGGTATTATACACTGGACTTAGGTAGGCAAACCATACTGTAAACAATAATATGGCTATGACAGTGAGGTGGGGAATGCATGTGGAGAAGGCTTTTTGTCTTCTCTGTGCAGACGGCATTCTTAACACTGTACTGAAAATATAGACGTATGTTATGATGATGAAGATGAAACAAGCTGACTCAATGATAACACTGAGCACAATTGCTCCAGTCTCCACTGCAGTTGAGTTAGAGCAGGAGAGTTTCAGTAGCTGTGGGATTTCACAGAAGAACTGATCAATGACATTGGAGCAGAAGGGGATAGCAAAAGTAATGCCAGTGTGTAGAACGGCAAGAAAAAGACCAGCACTCCATACACCAGCAAGAATTTGGACACAGGTGTGCTTGTTCACTAACATCTCATATTGCAGTGGACTGCAAATGGCAACATACCGATCATACGCCATGACTGTGAGGAGGAAGAAATCAGAGAATATAAAGAAAAGAGATAAGAGGACCTGAGCAGCACAGCCACAGTAGGAAATGTGTCTAGTATGCATTAGGGAATTGGCCACAGATTTGGGGATAATGACTGAAACAGAGCCTAAGTCCTGGATGGCCAAGTTCATCAAAAAGATGTACATGGGAGTGTGCAGCTTATGGTCAAAGCGTATTGTACAGATGATGAGAAGGTTCCCTGTTACTGTTGCCAAGTACAATATCAGGAAAAAAAGAAAGTGCAGAATTTGCAGTTCCTTTAGCTGTGAAAAATCCTTGAGCAGGAACTCTGATATGGCAGACTGGTTAGCCATAGCAAGCAGTACCTGCTGTTTTTCTCCTGCCTGTTGAAGAAAACAGAAAGGCAGCTGTTAAAATAGTGTGGTAGCATCTGCAAAAGTTAGGCTGGCTGCTGTGTTTAGATTTTGAATCTTCCATGAATAAGCATTACTGTAATACTTACTCCCCTCATCCCAGCCCAGGGATCTTTGAGTGATGTTGGGAATTTGGTTTTGTTTAAGTCTGTGAACACTTCATAGAGTGTCCATGCTGGTAAGCGAATGTTAACTGTAGTTGATCCCCCTTTCCCAGTTTTGGAATTGTTCACATTGAATTTCCAATTCCTCAGTTTTGGAATTGTTTGCATTTTGATGCACATTAAATAAACACAATTTAGGGACATTGAAATTAGGAATTTGTAAAACATGCAGATGTGAAGACCACCCACAAATACTAAAAGCAGTGTTCTGAACAGCATCTTTAAAACAATAGGGGAAATCTATATCTCTGCAAGCCATGTCAAAACTCAGTCCATACAGACAGCCTGACTACAATATCCAATTGGCCATTGCCTCTCTTCCCTTGTACTTCTCTCACTCTCTCTCTACACGCGCGCGCGCGCGCACACACACACACACACACACACACGATCTTACCTGATTGCAAGAGTTTGACATCTCAAATAGCTCACTTTTTAATAAGTGTGCCTAAAAGAGGTGCTACACTACATGGATTTTGAATGTTTTAACCAGCAAGGCTGCCTTTATTTGTATCCCTTCCTCTTTCAAATGCTCATTTTGCTCCAGTAAAATATCCAGTTCATTAATGCCATGAAGGAAAGATATGGGGGAAGATGTCTAGGTCCCCACTTTGTAGAATGTGCAGCCGGGATCTGCAAAGTTCATCCTACACACATTACCATCAGGGGGTGGTGAAGCAGCTTAACTTTGGAGTACTCTGCAGTGTATATCCAAGCATCCATGGAACTGCTGAGATACTCCCCTCTATTATGGAAGACTGCAGGTGTTGGATGGAGGTTCATTAATCACCATTTTTTGTTCCTAGAGATTTATTCTCAGGAGCCCAATGCAGTTCAGCAACACAGCACTCATAGAATAAATAGAAAAATAACAAAAACTACCCGACAAAATACAATACCCATCTTGAAGGCCAATTTAAAATATCTCTCATGATCTACTCCTGTTTCCAGAGAGAGTAGGGACTGGTCACAACCCCCAAGGGAGCATGTTTTAAATTTGCAACCCACAAGTGGTGGTGTCTTCAGATCAACCTGTCCTGCTGATCTTAATCACTGAGCAGGGTGATTCCAAACCCCCAGGACCTCAGCCAGTTGCAGCTCAGAGCTTAAAAGCAAGTTCTTGAACTAAGTCCAGAAAAAAACTGATAACCAGGGCAGATCTTTTTCATCCTATGGTAGCCTGATCACAACACCCATCATGTGGAACAAGCTTTATATTTAATGTTCTTAACTGATGGGGGGGTCTGTTTGCAGTTATCTAATTTACTGTATACATGTTGCTACCTGGACATTTTTTTAATTTAGTGTTGAATCTTACAATATTTTATTGCATCTTTTTTGTGTTTTGTTGTGCTTTATTTAAATTCACACATTGTGGTTAACTACGCAGAGATCTTCAGTTTTGAGCAGTATAGAGGTGATGAAGATGATGATGACGACGATGACAACAACAAGATGTAATGCACCAGCTTAGCTTTTACACTAATCAAAGCATCCACACATTAATCAAGGTAGTGCCATATAAGGCATGTTGCTCTAGTCTAACCATGTTGCAATGTAAACATGGAGAGCAGCCAGATCAGACTGGCCCTGATGGTGGCAGACTCCACCTGGCACACTCAATCTAGCTGTGCAATGTTCTTGTGGGTCCCACTTTCCTCTGAACATCCAGGGACAGAATAGGATTTTGGAACCTGCTCTTGCAGGGGAAGCAGGATTATATCCAGAAGAGGTTGAATACTAATCCCCAAGCCACACTGCCTTTTGCTTCCTGAGATGAAGAACAAAATGTTGCCTCCCCCTTCCCCACCTCCATTTTCACGTACCAATACCAATGAGGCTGGCAGCTGAATCTTCCTTAAACACCCATCTGAACTCAAATGGCGCAACAAACTATGAGGAAGCAAAGAACACCTAGGGAGCCCCTTGAGGAAAGTGGCAGAAGGGCCAGAAACTCCAATCAAGCAATCAGAGAGCTACTGGAATGGCTGTCACAGAAATGCTGTGGCAGGATGTGAGTAGCAGCTGGGATGGGCTTCCTCACCTCCGCCATGAACATGGCCCCTTTCAGGTTTTTTCCCCCATTGGTTTATTTGTCTGTTTGAGATTAGAAAAGTGGGATGTCAAACCTTCTTGCATGATCACAGAGGAGGACGCACAGTAGCAATGAAAGGAGACCAGCAGATCTGAGGAGCTGTGAGGTCCATGAGCTCTCTCACAAAGAAAAGGACATTCTGCTGCAGAGAGAGTAGATGGAGCTGCCTCTGCAGGATCTGCCAAATCACATGTGCCTGCCATACTGGAGGAAGGGGATGTGCTCACCTGAAGACAATGACTTTGACCAGGAGCCCCCCATCCTGGCCAGCACCTGCCCCAGGTTCTCATGGCTTATCCCCTGCATGCTCTACACTTCTTGGGGCCGGGTGGGAAGAGCACTATTTGCACAAAAGAGACCACTGATATTTTTTTGTTTGTTTTAGAAGGGGTATTTGGGCATCCCCTCCAGGGACTTCTGGGTGTCCTTGAAGGAACACCCCCATGGCTGTTCCTATTGGAGGCTTGCAGTCGTGGTGGGTGGGGAAAAGCTTGTGCTCCTGTTTCGCAGGTTGTGAGACTGCAACCTAGTGCCCAATTAACTCTGGACCTTGAGTAACCCTTGATATTGAGCCTCTGAATTTCTTCTAACTCTTAGGAGGAATGAACTCTCCATGTCCACCCTTTCTGATGTGGTCCATGGCAATGTTATTACAAACTACATGACCACTACTCTGGATCTGCAGGTGAGCACATCTCCTTCCTCCAGCATGGCAGGCACATGTGGTTTGACAGATCCTGCAGAGGCAGCTCCTTCCACTCTCTCTTCAGCATGATGTTCTTTTCTTTGTGGGAGAGCTCATGGATCTCATGGCTCCACAGATTTCCAGGTGTCCTTTCATTGCTACTGTGGGTCCTCCTCTGCGATCACACATAGGCTTTGATGTCACACTTTTCCAACCTCAAATGAACAAATAAACAAACCAATGGAACCCCCCCCCGCCCCCAAAAGGGGCCATGTTCATGGTGGAGGTGAGAACGCCCTTCCCAGCTGCTGCTCACATCCTGTGGCAGTTAGCCATGCCAGTAGCCTTCTGATTGCTTGATTAGAATCTGGCCCTTCTTCCACTGTCATCAAGGGTCTCTCTAGGTGTTCTTTGCTTCCTCAAAGCTTGTTGAGCCTTTTGAGTTCAGATGGGTGTTTAAGGAAGATTCAGCTGCCAGGTGGATGGTGTCTGCTGTGTTTAACAGCCCCTTTACAGGTTGTTTTTTTGAAGAGTAAGGAGCACTACTCTATGCAAGGGATTCATCAGCTGTTTTACTGAGGTTTCTTCTTCTATTTATTTTGCAAGAAGAAAACCTGCTTTCCACTGGGCTTTTTCCTAGGATTTGTAGTTGTCTTCTTTTCTATATATTTTATTAACCAAGGACAAGGTCGAGATGTGCTATATTTGCAGTATAACAGATATTCAACCTTCGCCAGGGAGGCAATTCCAGTTGATTGCATTTTCAAATTTAATTGCCAACTTTATGCCGTCTAAAAATAAACCATTTTTTAAAAGGCTGGAAAACACAGGAGAGGCTCTGGACCATGCGGATATGGGGAAAAGGTCCCACACATATCCTTGGGGGAAGATCACCAGAGCACCATGCATGGCCTGTGTGGAGAAGTCTGAAAAGTCAGGTGTTAACATGTAAAATGCAATACACTGGGAAACTCCATGTGTAGTGGTCACAAACCACTATATTTTCACTATAACATACTGCCACCTTGTGCTTGCTTCATGGCATACAGGGAAAGGCAGAGGAATGCAAACCCCAGCAAAGAAACCTGTGCAAAGGATATATGATTCTTCCAACTATGAAATGGAAGAAGCCTCAAGGAAGGAGCAGATTCAGCCCTAGATGCAGATCAGCTGCAAGAGTAGATCATCACTCTCTTTTTGTTTTTGTAAATGACTTTTTTTCCTGATACAGTTACTTCCAATTGCATTATCCAGTAATGCAAGTTGATTATGTTTGAAAAGGACAAAGACATCCTGACACAAGGCATAAAGCCAAAAAAGTGCTGAGGAACCATAATTCTTCTGTCATTCTCTCCTTCTGCACAGAGCAGTCTCTGGATAATAATATAAACAGAAGTACAGAGCGGAAAGTTACCTTTTCTCTGTGTTCTTCTGATGCTGAAAGATTTGGTGCTCCTGAGGCCAAAACTCCAGCAACCCCCCCCCCCCAAAAAAAAGAACAAAGCAATGCTCCCTTGTGATGCTTCTGGATTTCCCATTTAACCAGATCTCTATTAGGGGCAAAGCAGAGTAAAGAACAGAAGGGATGATGCATAAAGCTTGCTGGGTTCGTGGATAGTTACACATTTCCTGAGTGTAGCTATAGAAGACAGTGCCACAGTGGAGTCCAAGATTAAGTAAGTCAGTCTTTTCTTTCCATTATCCAGGTGTAGGAATTGCCATGGTAGTTTTCTGTGAGCATTTTCATGCTTTGCAAAAAGAACCTGTGTCATATTAAGCAATTCCTGATTTTATACACACACACACAAACACACACACACACACACACACACACACACACAGATCTATAGATATGGGTATATGTAGATATATATATATAGATAGATAGATAGATATAAATGTAGATATCCATATAGATATAAATATAGATATAAAAATTTCCCAATCAGGAGATGGACAATTAAGTACTGAGTTGTTGTTTTTTCCACAAAACCTATCTCAAAATTGGCTATGGAGACCTTGGCAAGCCTACAAAGCAGAGTTGCAGTGGACTTCAGCCAAAGGAGTACAGGGGCAAGTCCTGCTGTGCTAGAAAATTTCTGTTAACAACACACTGGATTTAACCCAATAATGCCGAGGCATCCGGGCATCTTGGAATCCTTAGATCTGTTGATGTGTTAACAGTTTCACTGATTGTGTGTGTGTGTGTGCATGTGTGCAGAAGCATCTGCATATTTATTTATTTATTTATTTATTTATTTATTTATTTATTTGGAATGCTTGTATGCCGCCCCATTCGCATACGCCTCGGGGCAGCTTCCAACAAATAAATAACAATATACTTTGTTTTGACTCTATTGCACTGATTGTGCTGAAAGTTAATGTTGCTATGAATGCATAGTTCTAGGAAATCATCCTAGCCTATATCATAAGGTAAACAAAGAAACTATGTGAAGAATAAGTGGATAGAAACATTCTTCAAATTAAGATAACTGATCCTCTGTTCCAACACCCACATGATAATGGTTATGTCATGTTATATCTGGCATAATGATTATCACAGTCTTCACATTCTACCACTAGTCAATTCTTTTATTCATCAGCATCCAGGACATCTATTGGCTAGCTTACTGCTTTTTGGAGGGATGCAAAGCCATATTGGCCATTAGTGATGTTACAGACCAATAACTATATCAGACTAGTCTTCATATTCCACCACTCATTGCAATGTAGGTTACTGAGTACAGAGAATGGCAGAAAATGCGGCCATTGCCCAGACAGCATACAGCTATACTTTTGCTATGAGGCAGTAGGGGTGAGTTTAATGAGGTTCAGTAAGTCTTTCTTTCCTCATCTATTGACCATTGTCTCCCTTTCCTTGAGATGCAACTACTATAAAAAGATAACTCCAGCTTAGTTAAGAGATCTTGATTAATAGTACCATATCTTTATTTTCTTCCACATTCAATCAGCTTATATTGATGGACAATGCAAGTTCTGTGTCTCACTTTCTGCTGTTGGAGTTCTCTGAGGTTCGAGACCTGCAGATCATCCATGCCTTTGTATTTCTGACATTGTACATGGCAACTGTGTCTGGGAATCTGCTCATCATTCTTGCCATTGTTCTTAACCATCGTCTGCACACTCCCATGTATTTTTTCCTGATGAACCTGGCCATACTGGACATCGGCTCAATTTCTGTCACAATACCCAAATCCATGGTTAATTCTCTTTTGAACACCAGGTTGATTTCTTATTCTGGATGTGTTGCACAAGTTTTCTTTCTGCTCTTCTTCGTAGCATCAGATTTTGCCCTCCTCACAGTGATGGCACATGATCGCTATGTTGCTATTTGCAACCCACTGCGATATGAGACAATAATGAACAAAGTAGCCTGCATGCGGATGATTGTCAGCTCATGTGTGAGCGGCCTTTTCTATGCTGTAATGCACACTACTTGCACTTTTGTCAACTCCTTTTGCTCCAATGTTGTGGACCAGTACTTCTGTGAAATCCCCCAGCTCCTCATGCTCTCCTGCTCTGACTTATATCTAGTTGAAATTGGTGTTCTTGTGTTCAGTGTTGCTGTAGTTTTCAGTTGCTTCATTTTCATCAGCATAACTTATGTCGTTATCTTCACTACAGTAGTAAGAATTCCTTCTGCTCAGGGGAGGCAAAAGGCCTTCTCTACCTGCCTTCCCCACCTTATAGTGGTCTCTGTGTTTGTATTCACTGGATCTTTTGTCTACTTGCTACCCTCCTCAAGCTCCCTGTCAGACCTACGTTTGGTATGTGCAATTATTTATTCTGTGGTTCCACCCCTAATGAATCCATTGATTTATAGTTTGAGAAACAAAGAGATCAAGAGTGCCCTTTGGAAACTGCTGACTTAAAGGATTCTTCTAGGGCAGACCTGGGCATTGTATGGCCCGCAGACCACATCCGGCCCAATGACTGACCCTGACTGGCCCGCATGAGGTTCATTTACTGTTTTTATAGAGATATATATTGAGCAGAGCTGTAAGTGTATTGGTCCAGCCCTTAACAACTATCAAAGTTTCTCATGTGGCCCCATAGGAAAATTAATTGCCCACCCCTGTTCTAAGGGTACAATATCTGATTTTAATTCATAAGCACAAGCATGAATTTAGTTTCTGTATGATGGTGCTTGTTTATGTGTGGATAACAGAAAGAGGGAGAGGGATATTTGAATTTATGGATTTATACATGTTATTTATAAAGGTTCTGGAATAGTCCCTTTACTATGCTAGAAGTACAATGCCCTCCATCAAGAGAATGGAATAATATTTTAATAAATGTATAATGGAATAAACAACTTGTCATCTAAAAAAGGTGCACCATAGAATCCACTGGCCTTATTGTAAGGTACAGAGGGCTTAAATCCTAATCTAAGGATTAGGTCATCTGACAATCTACCCTCACTGGATTTTACTCATTAGAATGGGATCAGATAACCCATGCAGAGGTAAAGGCTCTGAGTTTTCATCTTACAATGGGAAAGGCCCAAGGATCAGATGCAATAACTTCTAAAATCCCAAAAGCAACTGCTTAGCACAGCTTTCTTGCATATTTATGACACTGGTCAGCTCCCCATGGCATAGTTGAAGGTTATTACATGTCCATTGTTTAAAAAAGATAACATGCTTTTGTGAGTTACTGTGGAGATAGTAAAAGATTAAATTTAGTAAATCTAAGATGTTTGTCCTTTTGAAATGCAGATCAGTAAATAAATGGATAAATAATGGTCAACATGTAGAGCAAATTAAGACTTTCAGGCACAATGTTCTCTTCCTCACTCTCTTGGGTCAGTCATAGATGGACCTCAGTGCTGGTAGCACAGAATACCACTAAGGCAATGCATGTGTATGTTAATACTATAGGAGCACAATTTATCCCTGCTCCATGACAGCCATTCAAGGTCAAAATCTTGCCCCACTTGCTACAAGGTGTCCCAATATGGTTTCATGGTTTCAACCCAGCTGGCCTCCCTGTGATCTTTCTTTTCCCCACAAATGCCTAGGTGTGTACTGACTATAGAACTAAGGCTACAGCCTGTACTTACCCCTATCGAACTGAAGGCACAGATCCTTGCTTTCCAAAACAGGTTAAAGATTGTCTGCACCAATTCATCTCAGGGATACCCTTGTATTTGTTGTTGTGACAGGGTGTAAAGCTCACTAATAAACTGGATCTACTTGGACTGACAATTGACTTTTTCTGTACATATGATTTTGCTCCTTTAAATTGCTAATTTTAAAATAACAGATAGAATGTACTGAGCTTTAATATTATTTAATCAAATGGCTGCAGAAATTGTTTCCTAATGTTCCTGAATTTAACTTTTAAAACTCCTAAATATGCTAGATATCTTAATAATTTGAATTTCTCCAAATATCAGCTTTTTTGTGGAGTGGGGCAGCAGGGTCAGGTTTAATCCCCCTCCCCCACAATATCAATTCTGGAAGGGGAATAACAGGGTGACCCATATATAGGGTTTTTCTTTATGGCTTTTTAAAATGTAGTAATCACATGAAGAATGTAGTAGATTGTTTAGCACTGTTATGAGCAAATGTCCTGGGAGGTCACTAAAATTTCTCTCTCTCTCTCTCTCTCTCTCTCTCTCTCTCTCTCTCTTTCTTTTTTCCCTTGGCTGGCATAAATCAGACAATGAAATAGCTAGTGAGTAAGCTCCCCTTTTCCCACTATAATTCATTGTCATAAGAGGATTCTCTCACTTGCAATATAACTTTTTATTTTCCTCTTTTTAGGTTGCATTTTTAAGCATGTGTTTATTTGAATGGCCATTTTATTGTCCTATTTCTACTGTTCCCATGGCTCTGTGACTGTAAAGTAAATATTGATTGCTTAATATTTTGTTTTGTTCAATCCTTGGTACAAATGTGCAGCTGAGTAGTAGGGGTGTTAGCACAACTGCAAAAATTCACATCGCTTCTACCAAAGCTGTATCCTAATATGGCTGTGACATATGTTATGTGCAGTACATATCGATGTTAGTTGATATTACTGCCTGTATTAAAGCATGAGAGATTGTTATGTACTGCACATATAAAAGCAGAAGGGAGGCTGAGGAAGATGATGTTTTTTGTTGCAAAACAGAAAGGTCACATCATCAATAAAATGTTAATTATGAAATAGAATTTGTGAATTCATGTCTTCAAACATGGAGGCCAAAATGCATTCAATAAAATATGTTTGCAATGCTTGTCCCCCAGATTTTAAGAATCTGGTCTTGAAGAGAGTAAATATTTATTTTTCTAGAGTACTACATTGATGGGGAGGGACACACACACACAAATTGCCCATGTTGTATACAGGTGTCACACCTGCAAATTTGAGCTGAAAAAATATGACAAAGATGCATGCGACAAGGTCTGTTATGCTTCTTATATCACCTTTTATGACATCTTGAATTTTTAAAGTGTTCCTCAATAAATCCACAAGAAAGAGTGGGGGTTGATGAGGAAAGAAAGAGTGGTGTGGATAGTTTCAGGCCTGTGTCTCCATAAATCTTGTGTTGCTTGGAGAATATGCATATTGTCCAAACTGTGTACAAGACACTGTCAAGATATCCCTAAGCATTTTAGACTGCTGAAGATGATGGGAGAGGGCAAATCACTAGGGACTTTGAAGCTCTGGACAAGACACTCAGGGACTTAAAGGCCCAGGTGGCCTTTTCCTTTCTCTTGCCTGCCTGGGGATTTGGGCCATCCGGGGAAAGGAGGGTTGCAGAGGTGAACAACTGGCTCAGAGCATGGTGTCAGAAGGAATGCTTTGGGTTCCTCAACATGGCACCCAGTTTCTTGTCAATGGTGAGGGATTGGGTGCACCTCTCCCACCCAGCAGCAACAGCAGGTCACGTTGCTTCCTAGATGCTATAGAGGGAGGGTTTTTCATGCAGAGGGTCCAGGAGGTGATGAGAGGGGCAAATAACCTTGACTTGGTCTTGAGCAACAGGGAGTAGCTGATACATGGTGTGCAGATTAGGAGAGCTCTGGATGCAAGTGACCATTCCATCCTTTGCTTTGAAATCAGGGGAATAGGAGTGAGCAGCAGGTTGAAGGAAATATCCTGGGAGAGGGTACTGGAAGGCACTCTAAAGGGAGGTCTTGGAGGTTTGAGAATATGTTCCTTCTCTATAAGACTTGTTGGAGATTATGCACAATCGCCAGACAATGTACATGGTTCCCTGTCCATAAACAGATTATGTGCACTTTCCCCATGAATCACAATGAGCAAGAATGAATATTATTTGCATTAAGCTTAAAGTTCAGTTTTTTTGGATATGCAAGATAAGATGTCTGATAGCAAGACAAAATTCAAGTACTATTTCACTGAAGTCACCAAAGCAGATGAGGAAAAATGACAGATAATTATTATCTAAGGTTTTGTTTGTTAGTTTGCCGTTCCTCCAATAAAGAGAAATAACTTATTTTGGAAGAAGAAATTCTCAAATATTGTCCCTAATGCAGATATATAGCATGCTATAATACCTCTGTCTGTCTTATCTACTCTTTAACCATCCATCCATTCATGCCTTAATGTTTAAATATTACAATATGTTTAGAAATACATGTATACAAGAAAACATTGAAAAAAACAATTAAGTACAAATATAAGTTCACATGTTCATTCATAATTTTCATACACAGCCTACAGAAAAAATGGGATCCAACCAGCTAATATAATGCATAGCGACATTACAATTTATTTTGCTCTGCACTTTCCCACAGAATAAGTTTAAGAAAATTATTTTTCTCAAATAATTTTGCTAGGACAGCTTTGATGTCTTTATTTTTCAAGCTGTATATGATTGGGTTTAACATGGGAGTTAGGATGCTATACTGGATAGAAACCACTTTGTCCAGATCAATGAGAGATACTGAGCTTGGTTTCACATATCGGAAGAAAGCGGCAATATAAAATAATCCCACCACTATCAGGTGGGAGCTGCAGGTGGAGAAGGCTTTGCTTCTGCCTTCCCTTGATTGAATCTTCAGGATGGTGGAAATGATGTAGATGTAAGAGATAAGAGTGAGGAGGAATGAGCTGAAACCAAAAGCCAACACAGAGATCAGAAGAACAATGTAATTGGTGAGGGTCTGAGTACAAGATAACACCAAGAGTGATGGAAGCTCACAACTAAAGTGGTTGATAGTATTGTTCCTGCAAAAATGCAGATTTAACAAGGAAAGTACATTCACCAAAGCGATCAAGAAGCTAATTGCCCAGGCACCAGTCACTAGGTGCTTGCAGATTTCTTTCTTCATGACTGTTGCATAATGCAAGGGGTCACATATAGCAACATATCGGTCATAAGCCATTGCTGTGAGGATGAATGCTTCAGCACAAGAAGTCTGAATGAAGAAGAAAACCTGTGCAATGCACTCTTCCCAAGAAATAGTATTCTGCTTTGTTATGAGGTTTCCCAACATCTTGGGAACAGTGACAGTTGAATAGCAGATGTCAGCAAAGGCTAAATGACTGAGAAAGAAGAACATGGGTGTCTGAAGGGTAGGCCCAGTCCTTGTCACCAGCAGGATTGTCGCATTTCCTAATAATGTCACTATGAAAAATATAAGAAACACGAAGAACAGAAAAAGCTGTAGGAATGGATCACTGGAGAGTCCCAGGAGTATAAACTCTGTTATTACAGTTTGATTTCCCATCTCAGCTTATTCAACTAACCTGTACAAGTGAAAAAATGAAGCAAATTGGATTAGTTTAATATGTGATAATAATAAAGTTTAATAATGCACATCTTAAAATAGATACACAATCAATTCTGTACAAGCAGCCTGCAGAAAATGCAGATAGACCAATATTTTTGGGTTCAAATTCAGGCGAGGTTAATGACACTGATTTGGTGTGTGTTGGCTGCACTCTATCTGTTTATGCTTTATTGATCTGAGCAATCATTCTGCCTACAAATGTCTCTCTTCTGTCAATACATATCGTATATTGAAATAATGCATACAATAGTGACAGTGACGGTGTTCTGCAAATGTGCAAGTGTCTTGTTCCAACTGATCAATATGTGTAGTTTAGCCTGCCATGTAAGTTTTAGTGGCCACAGGGATTATTGAAGTGGAGTGGGACCCATACATTGAAATAGACTTGGAGAGACTGCCAAGTTGATAAACAGAAAGTGCCAAAATGTGGAGTGGTGGACCTTGCATCACAGTGCTCTCCATTTTTTCAACATTTCTAACTCTCCAGCTGCTTCAGGAAGGGAGGAGAGTGGTTAGGCCCTTTCATTGCTACTTTGTCGTTCCTTTAAGTGCTAGGAAAAAAATCCCCAAAAGGCTTGGGGGGCCTGGAAAACAACCGACAAAGCATAGATTATTTGCAGGATGGGTTCTCATGAGTTGAGGGCACAATCACCAGGACACTCTCCTGATTTTTGCCCTCATTGGGTTTTCTCTAATAAGAATGAGCATGGTCAAAATAGGAGTTAATGTCTGGACTGCCTGCAAGGTGCTATAAGTGAGGGAAGGTAATGGCAGTACTGAAGCTTCATCTGAAAGAACATCTCAGAGGTGCTGAGGAAAGCTCAAAAGCAGTACAGACAGCACCCATTTCTGGGTTTCTATGTTTCCTCAGAGGAAGTGTACAACCTGAACTCTTGGAAAAGGTATGTAATGCATAGAAATGGCACAATCATTCCCCTAAAAGGACTGTCCGTACTATTTGCTAGCTATTTCAGACCACCTCAAACATTCATTCAAACAGATAAAGCCAGCATACAAGACCAGATGTAGATGGCCACTTACCTGAGATTTAATCCAGATAAACAACTCCTAGAACTCTCCTAAGGCTTGAGTGAAAGGATATTCCACATAGAAGCTTCCATAGCTCATTCAAAGGGGAAATTGTGTGGGGAAAATCCATGCTTTAAAGTAATGGGAAAGGAAATGAGAAACTGGATTGAAATCCTTGTCACTTTAGGGAGATCCTCATTTGCTCCTAGCCAATTTACCCTACATCTTCTTGGAAATTGCTCACTGTGGCTAAACGAAGAACTCAGCAGTCTCTTCTTGAGTAAGGTAGTATAAAAAGGATGGATGCTCTCTCCCCTGACCCCCCTGGAAATGTTTCCCTTGGGAAACCATGTGGAATCAAAACCAAGTGTCTGTGAATCCTCTCCAGACATGCAAGTCTATTATTATATGTCTGTAGCTGAAGCCATACCTTAAGTGTAAACTAGTTCAATTGCATCCTGTTACTTTAATTGATCGTGTGGGCAACAAAGGCACTAGGCATATATTCAGGACACAATTTAATGTGTTGATTAAAAGAGGAAAGAATGAGGGGGGCGGTTATAGGAGAGACAGGATTTTGGATATGTTGGGTCTATTCTTAGAAGATGTAAGAATTGGTTTATTTATAAGAACATAAAACTTGATGAGTTATTTGATAGGTGTTCTTAGTTGTCTCTTGTATTCTTGCTGTGGGCCAAATTTGTAAGTGAAGTTCTCCATTTGGGAGAAAACCTTACATTGTTCATTGGTTAATTCAAGGAAAATGTTGAGTACAGGTATAGGGAAGGTGGTATCTGCAGGCACCAATGTACTTGGCACAGTCCTTCCACTCCCACTAAATAAATAAGCAACACCTTTCCCCACTGGCAGCTCATCTCATTTTCAAAGGAACTGCTTAATGCATCCAGGGCCAGGCAGACTCCACCTCTGCCTTGTAGCCAGTCTTCTGGAGAAGGCATGTGTTCTCAAGTCCTCTGGAACAGCTTTCCTGGTGGCACTCAAAGGTCCTTCTGAAATTGTGGATTGTGCCCAAGGCCCATATATGCCCTCCCGCCCCCTGAGATCAGCAGGAGAGGCCCTTCTCCGGGAACACTCCGTGAAGGAAATTAAGAGGGTAAGTACTCAGAGGAGGGCTTTCTCTGAGGTGGCGCCCAATTTATGGAATGCGCTCCCCAGGGAAGTCCGCCTGGCACGTCGTTATTTGTTTTTCGGCACCAGGTGAAGACTTTTTTATTCAAGCATCATTTTAACTGTTAGTAGTATTTATTTATTTTATTTTTTGGCCAGGGTGACTTATTTTATATTGTTAACTTGTTTTATATTGTTAATTTATTGTATTTTAATTGATTTATTTGTAAGCCGCCATGAGGCTTCAGCGAATGGGGCAGCATAGAAATTTTCTAAATAAAATAAATAACTAAAAAGGCTGCTTTACCATGGCCCAGAATCTGCTTAGTCCTGCTGGAAATGTAACAAGTTTTTGGTTTTGATTTCAAAATAAGGATTTGGCATGCTGTTTGAGCTATGGAGAGGCTAATTTTTTCTTATTGCATGTTCTCAGTGGGTTCATGCATTACTGAGCAACGTCCTAAGGATAAGAGTCTAAGGGAGGCATACGCAAATCTTGTCTTAATTGTTCGTAGTTCATTTGGCTTAGAGCATTATTCCTTAAAGAGGGCCTCAGCTGACTTTCAAGTTTTCCTCAATTCTGAAATTCATCCAGTACTTTTGACAGCAGGGAGGAAAGGCTACAAACTTCTGGTGTGTGTATGTGCATCCGTGCGAGGGATAGGTGTGAAGAACAAACACATTTCCAATTTTGCATATACGTTTTGTATATTATCAAATTGTTCCCCTCCTGTTTATGCTGAAATCAGACTGTCAGAAGTGCTGGCATGTCTTCAGACCAAAGGAGTGGACTGGGGATTCAGAGTTTTCTCAACTTTTGCTGTGGAAATGTTCACAGCTAAATGGATGCATGTCATTGAAATCTGCCAGCAATTAAAGTTTTTAGTATGCTTGCAAAGGAATTTGGGGATGGATGAAAGGGCTCAAAAGATGGAATTCTCTGTAAAAACAAGCCATTCTTGATTGGTGTTAGTTACAAGAGAATAGACTATTTCTAACTGATGACAACCTAGGAACATAGAGAGAAATGTGAGAAGGCACAAGTGATAAGAGATCAAGGTGGTATCAAGGTGTTCCTTTTCCTAAACTTGTTTGTTTGTTTGTGTCTTTGCCTTTTATCTCAACTAAGCAAACAGGGATTTTTTAAAGTTAGAAAAGGAGCAGGAGAAGTGTTGCAGAAGGTATCTCAAACCAATGCACATACCAGGCTCAGGGACATTCACCGGAAATGAAGTTGGACTAGAACTGCCAGCTGGTGCTTTTGTCCACAGAATGCCCAGGCAGCAGGGAAAGGGAAGGAGGAAATGGAGAAGAGCTTCCTGCCACTTCTGTCTCAAAGGGGGAGTCACATAGAAGAGTAGTGGGGCTGAGGTGGCTGCGAGCCCCCTGGGGGTCAGAAACGTGAGATGTGGCATGTTCAAACCATGATTCACTTTAGAGAGTCAGTCATTTCAGGAACTGCTGGCTGATAATGCTAAACTGCACCTCCATTTTGTAAGTGGCCATTTTCCTAGCTCTGTCACTGATGGGCCTCCATATTTTCAGTTCCCTCAAGGAGCGCTTCCATTCTATTGCAGTCAGAGGGAGGAAAACCTCCTCTGAACAGGAAAATTCTGTCTGGTTGTCATTGTAAGCAGAGAAGGATGTGTCCTCAAGTCCTCTGGAACTGCTTTCCTGGTAGCCTTCTGCAATTGCGGATTGTGCCCAAGGCCTGACTAAAAAGCCTGCTTAACCCTGGTCAAGAATCTGGTTAGTCCTGCTGGAAAGGTAGGTTTTAGTTTTGATTTCAAACAAGCTTTTGATTCTGCTTTCAAAATAGATATATTTGGCATGATATTTCTGCTATGGAGAGACTAAGGTGTTTTACGGAACATTCTCAGTGGGTGCTTGCATTGCTGAGTAACATCCTCAGGATAAGAGTCTAAGGGAACACAAGTCTTTTCTTAATTCTTCCTGGTTCATCTGGCTCTAAGCAGCATTCCTCAAAGTGAGCCCCAGCTGACTGTGAGGTTTGCCTCAGTTCTGAAATTCATCCAGTACTTTCAACAGCAGGGAGGAATGGCACAAACTTCTGGTGTGTGTATGTGCATGTGCGAAGGATAGGTGTGAGGAACAAACACCTTTTCCAATTTTGCATATACTTTTTGGATATTATCAGATTTTTCCCTCCAGTATATGCCAAAACAACCCCTCTCAAAAGTTCAGGGTGTCAATGGTTGTGAGTGCTGGCATGTGAACAAGCCTAAGGAGTGGACTGGGGATTCAGAACTTTCCCCAGATTGTGGTGTGGAAATGTTGCCAACTTTTGGCTTAGTATCTCAGTTGTTTAAGAGCAGTATTTCCCTAATTGTGGGATGGGGGACACCAGCAGGTCACAGCAGACTTTCAGGTGGGAAATAGCATAATATAAGAAAAATTTTCCACTTAGGCTACCATATTTGCTTACATGAGAAAAAGCCTCATGGAAATACATGTCGCTAACTTCAAGTTCAAATAGACATGAACAAGATTGCCCTATTAGTGCTTGCTTAGGATTGATGAATCCTTCCTGCAACTGGGAGGCTGAGCGCTGATACCTCCAGAGCCAAAGTCTCAGCTGGACAAAAACTGAAGTATGATGTTCCCTCCAGCAATGAACTCAGAGTATTAATGAACTGAGCCATGTTCAAATGAGGATTCACTTTGGATTGTCACTAATTTCAGGAAATGCTGGCTGAAAATACTAAACTGCACCTCTGTTTTTAAAGTGGCCACTTCCCTAGCCCTGTGACTGATGGATCCCTGATATTTCCAGCTCTCTCAAGGGGACAATGTGTGTAAAGACTTACTTCTTTTCTCTTGCAGGGAGGGAGAGAAAAACCTCCTGCAAACATGAAGGCTATGTCTGGTTGTCATTGCAAGCCAGTTTGAGGAACTTTCAAGAAGATTCCATTCCTGCAGCAACCAATTTCTGGAAAACACCCATCCAGTCATATTAGTAAAAGTAGATAGTGCAAACCTTGAATGAACCATGTAGAGTAAGAGAGCACACAATGTTCTACTGTGCCATACTTTAGAAAGGCAAGGAAGGCATTTTGTATAGAAACCCCAGATAAGGATCACGGAGACAAAGATAGTATGGGAAGGTATGCAAAGGTGCCACCCACATGCAGTTGGGGGTGATAGGGCACCCATGGAAGCAAGCAATCCATAAGTGGGACTGTCTTATGGATAGTGATGGTATGATGCAATGAGTGGGTCATAAAGTCAGCTTCAGTGGGGGACTTCTCACACATCTTCCTTGCCGTGCATTATCATCCAAAATGGCTGGTGGAGATGGAAAGAGAACGTTCCAAATCAAAGACCATGCCTGAGCCCCTGGGCTTCTCAACACGAACTGAATATGCAGCCTTTGAGGAATGCAGAAAGGAAAATTTCAGAAGTGCATTACTCCTTAACAGGAGAACCCGTATGACATAGGCTGCTTTTCAACATTGGAATGCACTAAACAAGGATTCCTCATCATGAAACAGAGTGTGTGTGTGCATCTGCAATGTCCCCCCACAATTTCAATCAATCTCTCTCCCTCTCTCTCCCTCTCTCTCCCTCTACATGATAAATGCAGATTGAGGGAGAAAACATGGACAACTACGAAGTCATTTTTGCCATTTCTCAAATGAGGAGAAATACTTTATTATATTAAAGTATCAAAGCTAATAATACGCTTGGCAACATTAGAAATTGTGTTCTGTACTTTCCTACAGATTACATTTATTTTAAAAAATTATACATCTCAAACATTTTTGCTAGAACAGCTTTGATGTCTTTATTTTTCAAGCTGTATATGATTGGGTTTAGCATGGGAGTTAGGATGCTATACTGGATAGAAACCACTTTGTCCAGATCGATGAGGGATGCTGAACTTGGTTTCACATATCGGAAGAAAGCGGCAATATAAAATAAGCCCACCACTATCAGGTGGGAGCTGCAGGTGGAGAAGGCTTTGCTTCTGCCTTCCCTTGATTGAATCTTCAGGATGGTGGAAATGATGTAGATGTAAGAGATAAGAGTGAGGAGGAATGAGCTGAAACCAAAAGCCAACACGGAGATCAGAAGAACAATGTAATTGGTGAGGGTCTGAGTACAAGATAACACCAAGAGTGATGGAAGCTCACAACTAAAGTGGTTGATAGCATTGTTCCTGCAAAAATGCAGATTTAACAAAGGCAGTACATTCACCAAAGCAATCAAGAAGCTAACTGCCCAGGCACCAGTCACCAGCTGCTTGCAGATTTCTTTTTTCATAACTGCTGCATAATGCAGTGGGTCACATATAGCAACATATCGGTCATAAGCCATTGCTGTAAGGATGAACACTTCAGCACAAGAAGCCTGAAAGAAGAAGAAAACCTGTGCAAGGCATCCTTCCCAAGAAATAGCTTTCTGTTTTGTTATGAGATTTCCCAACATTTTGGGAACAGTGACAGTTGAATAGCAGATGTCAGCAAAGGCTAAATGGCCGAGAAAGAAGAACATGGGTGTCTGAAGGGTAGACTCAGTCCTTGTCACCAGCATGATCGCTGCATTTCCTAATAATGTCACTATAAATATAATAAGAAATACGAAGAACAGGAAAAGCTGTAGGAATGGATCACTAGAGAGTCCCAGGAGTATAAACTCTGTTAGTAAAGTCTGATTTCCCATCTCAGCTTATTCAACAACCTGTACAAATGCAGACATGAAACAAATTGACTCAGTTTAATATGTAGCAATAGTAAAATATAAGCATAATTTAATAAAGCTCACCAGAATAAAGACACATATACTTAATCTTTACAATTCTACAGAAACACCCTGCAAAAAATGCACACAGACCAATATTTTTGGGTTCAAATCCAGTGAGGCAGCTGGATGGGAGTTAATGAGACTAATTTGGTAAGGGTTGGATGCACCTATTTGTTTGTTTTTTATTGATTCAAGCAATCAATAGTGCATTTCCATTCTGCAGATACATGTTGCAAATACCCTAAACAAAATGTTGCTGCACTCATATAAAACCACATCAGTATTTTGTGTGCTCTTTTGTCCATATCCAGGATGAAGTAATATAGGGGAGCAGTAAGTGAGCTGAATTATGTTAATGCTCTAGCAAAGTGTAGAAGATTCCTAAAAGGGCTCTGCATACATAACAAGGAAATCAGAGCAGTGTAGTTTAGGCTCCCATATAAGTTTTAGTGGCCATGGGAGTCAGTGAAGTGGAGTAGGAGCCATACCTGGAAAGCGACTTGGAGAGTCTGCAAGTAAGCAAATGTGTACACAGTTGCCTAGGGCCAGTTGCTCAAGATGTCAACCAGAAACTGACAAAAATTGGGGTGGGGGATGTTGCAGCTCAGCACTCTCCATCTTTTCAATATTTCTTACACTCCAGCTGCTGCAGAAAAGGAAGATAGTGGATTTGCCTTTCCATGACTACTTTTCAGGAGGAGGTTATTGGAGTTCCATGAAATTCTAGGGTTCCAAAAAGTCTTGGTGTGAGCCTGAACAACCCACAAAGCATAGCTTACTTGCAGGATGGGTTTGCATGTGTTGAGCACACAGGCACTAGGACAGTCCCCTGCGTTCTGTCCTCAATAGGTTTTTTGTAGTGAGAATAAGCATGCTCAAAATTGGGGTTGATGTCTGGACTGCCTGCAATATGCTGTGAGTGAAGCAAGGTTATGGTAGGTCTGAAGCTTCATCTGGAAGAGCATCTCAGAGGTGCTGAGGAAAGCTCAAAGCGGTCCAAACAGCACCCATTTCTGAGTTGCTATGGTTCCTCAGAATATGTGTACAACCTGAACTCATGGAAGAAGTATGCAATGCATAGAGATGGCACAAACTTCCCCTGAAGGATTGCCTGCACTATTTACTAGCTATTTCAGACCACCCCAAACATTCAGTCCAACCACTGAGGCCAGTGGACAAGACCAGATGTAGATGGCCACTAACCTGAGATTTAATCCAGACAAACCACTTCTAAACTCCCCTAAGGCTTGAGTGAAATGATATTCTAAATAGAGGCTTCCATACCTCATTCAGAGGCATAATTGTTTGGGGAAAATTCCTGGTTTAAAGTAATGGGAAAAGAAATCAGAAAATGGAATGAAACTCACTTCCATCCCTTTAGGGGGATCCTCATTTGCCCTAACCAGAAGAAGCCAGGAAGAATGTCCTTACCTTGCCTTGACTGATGCACAATTTACCTCACCTCTTCTTGTAGATTGCTCACTGCTTCTAAATGGAGAACTGAGCAGTCACTTCTTGAGTAAGCTGGTATAAAAAGGAAGGATGCTTCCTCCACACCCCCTGGAATTTTCCCTTGGGAATCCATTTGCAATCAAAGCCAAGTGTGTGCTCATCCTCTCCAGACATGAAAACCAATTATTACAAGTCTGTAGATCAGGTCATAGCTTAAGCATTAACTTAAAGCTATGCTACCATAGCTTAAGCAAATAAAGCATTGGAAATCTGAATGGCATTATGTGCTAAGTTTTTCCCCTAATTTGGCTGTAAACACTCCTTTTTACACAAGAAACTCTGGGCTAGATCAGTACAGAGAGTGTTTCCCAGTGAAGGACACTCATAAGTAGAAGTTACAAGGCATTGACCGGGACAATAGGACAACCTAATTTGTAACTAGTAATATTGGATTCTCATGGCATAGGAAACGAGGCTGCTTTCTGCCAAATCTATAACCTTTCATGGGCAGAAATAACTTGGCTACTAGTAAAGGTACTAGGTACCTTAAGACTGTATGACTGTAACATATTATATTTCAGACTCCTCTTAAAGCCCATATAGAAACATATACCACCTGTGCTGAGAGACTGCATGGGCTTCTTTATTGCTAAGGATCAGCTCCTTCTCCTCTGAATTATTATTGTTGTATAGAATCCTACAGAACTGGAGCCCACGTAATCAGATTGCTTCCTATAGTTCCAAATGGCCCTATTCTACTCGGACCAGAGTGTCCACCTTACTCAACCATTCAGCTCCTGGTTTGTGCCTTTCTATGTCACCTTGCCATTGTGCCAGCCTCTTGTCTGACCTGCCTCACCCACATAACCTCCCTTGCTGTGTTGCCTCAGTAACCCGTGAGCTGTGGTTCAGCTACTGCATCTTGCCTGGCACTTGCTGCACCTGTGGCTTCTGGTAACACCCCTCTCTCTCCCTGCAGCTCCGCTCTCTCTGAGAAAGGAGAGGAGACAAGGGAGCAATGGAACCACAATTTCTAGAAGCAGACCTTGAGGCTTTAGCTCTGTGCCTCTTGCTTCCCCAAGTCATGGAAGATGACAGCAGAGCAGCCAGTGCCCTCAAGGGAAGGAGGACTGAATCCGATTTGCCCACTGCTCTCTTTTCTAACTGGGAAAGTAAACCATTTAGTTGTAGGCTTGAGGAACAGCTCCTCAAGTCACCAGCTGTGTCCATCAATGGCCGGGAAAGTCCATTTACCCTATTCTGGGCAGTGAAAGGCATGCCTGTCCTGCACTGGCAGCAAGAGGTCTTCATCTAAGAGGAGTTCATTAATATCAATTTCATGTCCACAGAGATCCTTCTTCAGTGTTTGTTTTGATCCCCATAATCAGTGAGCTCAGAAATTGAACACAAGTTAGTAGTACAAGCGTAGGAATCGGGCTCTCACAACTGACATGGAGAACCTCCAAAGAGGCAGAAGATTGTATAAAACAAGTAGACTACATTATGTAAGGAACATTGTCATTTAATGCTTGGAGTATAACTTCCATCCAAAAAATTTCAACAGTGCAGCTCTAATCTCCTGATTTCTCATACTGTAGATAAGTGGGTTCATCATGGGTGGCAGCATAGAATACAGGGCTGAAATCATCATAACAAGATCTTTTGGGGCCTCACTAGTAGGGCATAGGTAGGCCAGAGTACCAGTGCAGATAAACAGAGAGACAACAATAAGGTGGGGCATGCAGGTAGACCAGGCCTTCTTCCTGCCCTGAACTGAGGGGATTCGCAGGACATTTGTGAAGATCTGTACATACGAAAAAATTATGAAGACAAAGCAAAACAAAGCTAAGCATGCAGCAAATACGTTGACTCTGGTTTCTATCATAGAATTACCATTGCAGGAGAGTTTGAGCAGCTGAGGTATTTCACAGAAAAACTGGTTAACAACATTGGAGCAGAAAGGCATTGAAAAGGTGGCTCCAGTGTGCAGCATGGCACAGAAAATACCAGAGACCCATGCACCACCTGCCATTTGCATGCAGGTTCCCACATTCATCACTGCCCCATAATGCAGGGGATTGCATATGGCAATGTATCGATCATATGCCATGAATGTGAGGAGGAACAGGTCAGTAACTGAAAACAAGATGAGAAAAAAGACTTGGAAGACACATTCTGAATAGGAAATAATTCTGGTGTTCATGAGGGAATTGCTCATGGCTTTTGGGATGCTGACTGAGATGTTGCCAATGTCAGCCAGGGATAAATTAATCAAAAAGAAGTACATAGGTGTGTGAAGTTGCTGGTTGAGTGTCACGAGGATTATTATGAGGAGATTCCCCATTACAGTTGTCCAGTAAATCAGAAGGAACAGTGCAAAATATAGAACTTGCAGCTCCCGAATATCGGAGAATCCCAGGACAAGAAAAACAGTTGTATTGAACATTTTGTCATCTGTAAGAAGAAAGCAGGAGAGAAAGAAGAGAGGGATTTGATTCAATAAGGCTAGGTTGGGCTAGGCTAGATTGAATGCATGCAGACACCACATTTGCTCCAAACACTTGCTAAGCTGTGAATATAAGCAGAGTGCTTCTGGATCAGGTCAAAAGGCTATTCAGGACAGCTCTTGCTTCTCACAGTAGCCAGTTAGATGTCTCTGAGAAGCTCACCACAGGACATAAGCCTCTCCCCCAACAAATATGGATCAATACTTACTAGTAATACATGAAGCTTCCTTATATGGAATCACAGCTTTGATTAATGTAGATCAGTATTATCTTCTCTAAAAATTGCCTTCACAACTTTTAGCTACTGGGTGTTATAACATGTAATACAGATATTATATTTACATATTACAATTACGAAAAGTTTTGGGGAACAGGGTAGAAAGAGTCCCAAAAATGAATTACCGTTTTTAAAATCTTGTTGAAACATGCACACCCATATACACATAGTCTCACACACATCCAAGAAAATTAAAACTTACCATGGTTAATTAAATAAAATAATCTGCAACAGACAGGATTAAAATAAGCTAAATGCTTGGAAAAGTTAATATATTGTCATCTGCCGCTTAAAACTCAGAAGAGAATGAAACCAACTGTGGGAGAGGGTAGTGTCACCAAAAAGGTTGCATTTTGTCTACCCACTAACCCTTCCTCACTTTAAGGAGGAACTAAGAGCAGGTCCTCTGGAAAAAAAAAACAAAACACAACTGACAGGTAGATTTATGTGTTGTTCAGGTCCATCACCATCATCATTATCACCATCATCATCCTGTAGTAGTTGCGCTACTTGTTGGAATGCTTACAGCATCTGTGTCCATTCAGGAAACAGCATACATGGGAGTGACTATAACTGGATCCATACCAGCAAATTACTCTTATATTATGACAGGACTTAATCATGCCTGCAAACCATGCGGACAAAATACAGCTTCAATAAAAACTGAGGTGTCTAACAGTTAAGCAAATAGAGGAGGTTCCAAGCATTGTTTGGTCTACAGCTAGCCCTATTAGCCTAGTGGGGGAAGAGAGGCTTAACTTATATCAGGAGGGCCATTATCCCCTGCCCCCACATAACATTTGCCAGATTTTCTGCTCTATAATACTATGGAAAGATGGACATTCTATGTCTCATTGGCTTCTGTGCAACAGATCATCTCACCTTTATTGGCCATGGTTTATTTTCCCAAAGGATGTAGTCACACGTGAAAGCAAACAGCCTTCTTGGTGCCACCTAGAAGTACAGCCAAATCTTTGCTCTGCATCAAATGCATATTGGTATCAGCTTATCATGTGCCCTGATAAAAGCATGTCCAGCAATACAGTGAAGAGATGAGTTCTCTTAAGTTAAAAAATATATGAAGCAGCATTAAAAAATATATGAAGCAGCATGATCCTGATTGTCAGCATCAGAATGTGTGACTTACCACCGCTCCTACATCCCTGTGTTATGCCTGAGAAGAAATGCATCTCCTGCCTTCCTGATCCATCAGCCATTCTTATATGCACTTTCAGCCACCTGGAACATCTGCATCACTTCTCATTCTAGTTTCATTGTAAATTGTGTTACAATTTACAATGTGCAGTAAACATTATGTTTACTGTAGTTATTTTTTAAACCTAATATTGGGAGCTGTTTCTGACCAGAAATCAACACCAACTTACTTTGATAGCTAAGAATTTACTTAAGAATGAGAAATTAAAGCAAGTTCATATATTCAGGTTTTACAAGAAATTAAATGAGGTAACAACAGAGAGCAGGGAACTAGCTGTTTTGAACACAAATGCATGAATGCCGTTTTATTTGTTTCTCATTTCAGTAGACAGCATTCACCCTCAATGATCTGTTTCACATAGTAATGAAACATGCTAGTGATAATTAAAATTATGTGCAAATTAATAACTTACTACTTTAATATTCCTTTGAACTCCTCATATACTTCCTTCCTCAGTAGTTTTAGCTCATAGTATCTCTGTCCAGCTGCAGGTGACAATTTATACCAGGTCTCCTAGTAGATTTCATTCCTGTCATGTGCCAATGAGACCTTGGTCTAACCCTATGAGAGATGTAACTCAGGAGTCTAGCATGACCCAACAGAGTAGACAATAGAGGAAATTAGTGAATGTTCAGCTTGATATTTCTGAGAAATACTTGGCTACAGCACAATCAACAGCACATGAAAATTACAGTGTACTCCAAACATCCAAGCGCCACCATGACACTATCTGATTCATAGATACTGCTCAGAAATGGGTGGTTGAACCTTTCAATTCTTAGAAAAATGTGTTTTGTTTTTTTTATTTTGTCTCCCTCACTTGGGTCCCCTATGACAATTTCCATAATGTTCTAAAGCAGGGGTCCTCAAACTGTTTCAATAGGGGGCCAGTTGAAAGGCAGCCCACATGCGTCGTCGGGTGCATGCAAGGTGGCATTGGGCGCACGGCGGCTCCCTTGCTGAGAGATCTCCCAATGAGTCCAAAACCATCTCCAAGCGAGCAAGCCACTGCCTCCAGTCCATGCTGCAAGGCAGCAGCAAGCGCACATGTGTGGGAGAAGCAGGCCGGATGAATGGGCATGGCAGGTCAGATCCGTCCTGCGGGCCGTAGTTTGAGGACTCATGTTCTAAAGGGTCACCCAACTCTTTGGAGTTTTTGAGGACTTTGGGTCAGGTGTGGGGAAGGAAAATTCCCAAAATTATCTCCTTTCACATTCTCTTTCCACTCCTGGAAGGCACTGATTGAAATCACTCAGGGATGGGTGGGGAGTTTTAGTTTGCTTGTTTTAAAGGGTTTTCCTTAATGTTCAAAGTTCTTCATAATCCAGTCAAAAAGATCTTGAGGTTGAGATATAAATAATTGCAATAGGGGAGAAACCAGCACTTTCAGATCCATCTATTCTTGCTCATATGTTGTTGTCTTTGCTCTTAAAAGTCTGGGTTTGAATCCCAATCTACTCAGCTATGTTAATGTTCAGCCAAGATTGCCACCTCTTCTTGTTTGGCTACAGTCCGCTTGTTTGTTTTTTGATTGGACCATTATCTTTAAAGAAATATGGAAAGGTGCTGGCAACAGCTGTATATACTGGTTAGTGCAGTGAGCTGAGAATTTCATTTTGTTTCATTTTAAATAAAATTTTACCAACATTTGAAAACTTCTTCATATTAGGGAAAGAAATAACCTTGCATGTAAGTATTACACTTGGTCCAAAATCTATTCAGTAACTTTAAGATCATATAACAGATTTCCTGGTAGAACAAATCTCTATAGCCCCTGACTTATATGATGGAAAATGATGTGGGATTGTTTGATCAATGCTTGGATTCAGACAGCACAGTTGCAGTAGAAGTACATGCTCATATAATTAGAATATATCTTAATATGGCAAAAAGTGAATATATTCATATAATTATGCAAAGAAGATGGCAGTATGTTATTTATTGACAAACTTGAAAATAAATGTATAGATACTATGTAGTATGATTGGTTACTGTACTTTGGTCACTATATGGTTTCACTCCCACTACCTTTTTCCATCAATCCATAGCTCCCTTTCACATCACTTACTATTCTTCTCTTTCTCCAAGTACCCTAAAATATCCATTTTCTCTCATTTGAAAAATGAAATTATACTTCCTTACAAATGTTTCAGACAATGTATACCAGTTATATTGACTAGATTCCTTTTTCTGTCTTCCAATTTTCCAGAGTCACTACTTCCTCTTTTAATTTATCTTTTTAGATTGTTTTTGTTGTTGAGTTGTTGTTAGGCTTGCTGGCATAGAAGAAGCAGGGAAACAGGACAGCCTTGGGCAATAGTGAGTTCATCAAGCTTAACAGTTTATGTATTTCTTTATTTGTGGCATCCTCTAGGCAGCTAACAGATAATGTTAGCAAGAATAACCCCAATAATGTGAAATAACATCACATACTGTAACTATGAATACAATGGCATTTAACTCCAACCACCATTGGAGTTCAGGATGTGGCCCCATTGGTCTGGACAGAAGACCTCTCATCTCTTTCAATAAATTTTTATTCCAAACAACCACATGTATACTACATTACATAGAATACATTGCCATTTAATGCTTGGAGTATAATTTGCATCCAAAATATTTGAACAATGCAGTTCTAATCTCCTGATTTCTCATACTGTAGATAAGTGGGTTCATCATGGGTGGCAGCATAGAATACAGGGCTGAAATCATCATAATGAGATCTTTTGGGACCCCTCTAGTTGGACACAAGTAGGCCAGACCACCAGTGCAGATAAACAAGGAGACAACAATAAGGTGGGGCATGCAGGTAGACCAGGCCTTCTTCCTGCCCTGAACTGAGGGGATTCGCAGGACATTTGTGAAGATCTGTACATAAGAAAAAATTATGAAGATAAAGCAAAGAAAAGCTATACATGAGCCAAATAAAATGACTCTACTTTCTATCATATAATTACCATTGCAGGAGAGTTTGAGCAGCTGAGGTATTTCACAGAAAAACTGGTTAATGACATTGGAGCAGAAAGGCATTGAAAAGGTGGCTCCAGTGTGCAACATGGCACAGAAAATACCAGAGACCCATGCAACACCTGCCATTTGCATGCAGGCTCCCATGTTCATCACTGCCCCATAACGCAGGGGATTGCATATGGCGATGTATCGGTCATATGCCATGAATGTGAGGAGGAACAGGTCAGTTATTGTGAAAAACATGAGAAAAAAGACTTGGGAGACACATTCTGAATAGGAAATAATTCTGGTGTTCATGAGGGAATTGCTCATGGCTTTGGGGATACTGGCTGAAATGTTACCAATGTCGGCCACGGATAAATTGATCAAAAATAAGTACATAGGTGTGTGAAGTTGCTGGTTGAGGGTCACAAGGATAATTATGAGAAGATTCCCCATTATGGTTGTCCAATATATCAGAAGGAACAGTGAAAAGTGTAAAACTTGCAGCTCCCGTATATCAGAGAATCCCAGGAGAAGGAAAACGGTCTGATTGAACATTTTTTCATCTGGAAGAAGAAGAAGAGAGAGACTGTGTAGAGAGACTGTGTAGTCATACAGACATGACTCTGGCTTTGTTTTGAATGTATAACAAGTACTGCTGGAGATGAAAAGGGTATGTGATCAATCTCAGGTTCTCCACAATGACCGTTTAAATGTCTTTCAGGACCTCTCAACTAGGCATATGGTAGAACCTCTTTCCTGAAATCCCCCCAATGTTACTTGAAACATTTGAAGTTCCTTTTTACTGAATGAAACTATTGTCCCATGTCTTCAAAAATTCATAGAATAGTAGAGTTGGAAGGGGCCAGAGAGTCATCAGTTCAATCTTCTCCTGCTCAGTGCAGGGCTCCAAGTTATACCATCCTTCTCAAATGGCTGTCCAGTTTCATCTTGAATGTCTCTAATGTGAGAGGGCCCACAACCTCCCTAAGTCATTGCTTCCATTGTTGCACTGCTCTAACAGTCAGAAATGTATCCTGATATCTACCCAGAACTGAGCTTTCTGTAACTTGAGTCCATTGTTCTGTGTCCTGTACTCTGGGATGATTAAGAAGAGATCCTGGTCTTCCTCTTTGTGACAGCCATTCAAGCACTTTTAGAATGCTATCTCAGTCTTCTCTTATCTAGGCTAAACATGGCCAGATCTTTCAATCTATCCTCATGGGGCTTTGTTTCCAGTCCCTGGATCATCCTTGTTGTCCTCCTCTGATGCCCTTCCAGCTTGTCTGCATCTTTCTTAAACTGTGGTGCCCAGAAATGGATACAATACTCAAAATGAGGCCTAACCAGTGCTGAGTAAAGAGGAACCAATACTACTAAATGTGGTTATTATTGCTTGCACTAACTGAGGATTGGTCTCCAGGGTTTCAGAGAGGGCTATTTCCTAATGCTAAATTGATTGTCATCCAGTAATGGTTGCAGTGTGAAATAAGGGCCAATATATGTGAAAGGCACATGACAATGGATCTTTGATGTTGCCTCAAAACCACACACACACACACAAAGCTCATTCATGTATTCAGTGACCAGTACTAAAATTGTGGGAAATCTAGCCATCAACAGTTATGTGTGAATCAACCCATGGACACTTATTCCAAAGAAACACATGGAAGAACACACAAGCCTTTCTGTATTTGAGCACTACTGGTAGGACAGACTATTGGAAG